GTGTTTGTGTTGTTGTCGCTGTTTTTCTTTTTAGTTTATGTTTGTTTTGTGCTTTGGTATTTCTTGTTAGGAGCTGATTCTCCTCTAGTACGGAATAAGAATTGGTTGGAATAATTAATTTAACACTAATTTAGTGTTAAACTACTTTGCTAAACTAATATTCCACCACCTTATTAATTATTCAACCAATTCCAACCACCACACCAAATTACCAACAACTCTTATGTTTTATTCATCCAATTGTCCATTTGGTTGATGGTGTGCGAGAAGAAAATTGACAACCTCTTCAACTTGCAACCCATTTCTCATCTATAAATAATGTATCTGATCATTTGAGAAAAAAACAGAAAGAAGAGACACAGAAGAGAAGGGAAAGAAAAAAAATAGAGAAGAGATAGGTAAAGACTAGAAAATCAGTCCAAGAAAGTAGTTGAGGGATAAAAATATTAGTGAGAAAAATAGAGAAAAATTATCAGAGAGATAATTTTATTCCTATTTTTTAAGTGCTTAATTCTCGACTCCGTTTTAGTTCGTCGGAGCTCGTAATCTGGTATGCTATAGATTTCGAGACGATCACCGTTGTATCTTTGGGGACGTTACGCCTGCACCGTTAGCACTGCACGGGGCGTATTCGTCTTACGGAAAGAGTTACTCGCCTCGGCTAAAAATCTTTCCGTTTTTACAAGTTGTAATTTATTTTCAGTTCTATTGTAATTTTATATTTTTAGATCATTTGTAAGAACTGAAAAATACATATCATTTGTAATTTTATATTTTCTATTGTAATTTTATATTTCGACTCATATTTCTAACAATCGCAAACGAATACGCCCCGTGTAGTGCTAACGGTTCAGGCGTAACGTCCCCAAAGATACAATGACGATCGTCTCAAAATCTGTAGCACACCAGATTACGAGCTCCGACGAACTAAAACGGACTCGAGAATTGAGCACTTAAAAAATAGGAATAAAATTATCTCTCTGATAATTTTTCTCTATTTTTCTCACTAATATTTTTATCCCTCAACTATTCTCTTAGACCGATTTTCCAGTCTCTTTTCCCATAATATTTTTATGCCTCAACTATTCTCTTGGACTGATTTTCCAGTCTCTTTTCCTATCTCTTCTCTATTTTTCTTTCTTTTCTTCCCTTCTCTTCCACGTCTGTTCTTTCTGTTTTTTTTCTCAAATGATCAGATACATTATTTATAGATGAGAAATGGACTGATAGTTGGAGAGGTTGTCAATTTTTTTCTCGCACACCATCAACCAAATGGACAATTGGATGAATAAAATATAAGAGTTGTTGATAATTGGTGTAGTGGTTGGAATTGGTTGAATAATTAATAAGGTGGTTGGAAGAATAAGAATCAAGTAGTTGGAATATTAGTTTAGCAAATTAATTTAACACTCGATTGACTAACACCAGAGTCATAGGTAGTAAGCAACACAGAATTAAGAGAAGATAAAAGGGACAAATCTTATCTTATCTAGGCTAACAATCAGGGGCTAAAAAAAAGAGCCTATATATATGGCCCATATTATATCTATATATAAAGCCCATCTTATATTAGCTTTGCTCATTAAAAAAGCCTAATGCCAAAATAACTAATATACTAATATAATAAAAGATTCGATTAACAACAAAATTAACATTAAACAAAATTAATAAAAGTGTCTCTTGGGCACTTCACGCAAAACGTACAGATACAAATGTCCATTTGTTGAAAAAGAGAGAAAAGAGGAGAAAGAGAGATAGGGGAAAGAGAAAAAAAGAGTCAAAGAGCTTATTAATTTTTGGTCCAATTGTTCGAGAAGATGACTTGCGACTTGCGAGGTACCAAATCCCTTTATTTTTTGGTGGAGTTAAATATTATTCTACTTTATTTTTTAGATAATGATAAATATATTCTTTTTATGTAGAAATTGCAAATTTAATCCTTAAGGTGCTTATAGCTCTTTAGATTGTGATATGTCAAAATAGAGAATTTTACTGATTGTAACTTTATATACTATTTTTTGTATATCGGATATGGATAGCTATTTTCAAAAAAGGCCTCATCAACAAAGTGCTTGTGAAAATGTCTCAAAATGAGATATTTTGAATTCAAATAGATCTGAGGAAAATTCTAGTGTCACTGGGCATAAAGAATTCCAATCTCAAGGTACAGTCAAAGATTAGAGACCAAGTTTGAAGAGCATATTTGCAGAAAAGCTCTTGTCAACCGTTTGATCACCAAATTTCCATGACGAAAGCCTCAGCGTCGTTAACAAAGACTAGAAGATTTATTGTTGGTTGGTTTACTGAACATGAGTGGTTGGAGTATAACATTTCTAAAAATGCTGCATATTGTCTCTATTGTTATCTTTTTAAACCAAATAGAGGAAAACAATCAAGAGGTAAACATTTGTCACAGAGGGTTTCAGGTCTTGGAAAGAAAAAATCGAGACTTGATGTTCATGTCGAGAAACATGACAGTGAACACAATCAAGCGCGCATGAACTGTGATGCACTGATGAATCAAAATATACACATTCAAACAGCTCTAGAAAAACAGTCTAAACATATGAGGGATGATTATCGCATTCAACTTACTGCATCTCTTGATTGTGCATGACATTTGTTGCGATTGGGGCTACCTTTCCGGAGTCATGATGAATCGAAGGATTCTCTTAATCCAGGTAATTTTCTTGTCACTATGGAATTTTTAAGAGCTCATAATGATGGTACTGCTTCGGTGACAATGAAAAATGCTCCTAAAAATTGCAAGTTAACATCTCCTTGCATTTTAAAAGATTTATCTTATGCTTGCGCCACAGAAACTGTTAATGTGATATTAAAAGATGTCGGGGATTCTTTTTTCTCTATTTTGGTTTATGAGTCTCGTGACATATCGACTAAAGAACAAATGTCCATCATTTTGAGATATGTAGATTCTTGTGGACATGTAAAAGAACATTTTATTGGAGTTGAACATGTCACAAATACTACGGAAATTTCTCTTAAAGATGTCATTGACAAGATGTTGTCGAGACATAATTTGAGCATATCTAGATTGCGAGGGCAAGGTTACGATGGGGCTAGTAATATGCGAGGGTGGCTTAATGGTTTAAAAACACTTATTTTAAATGACAATCCTAGTGCACATTATGTGCATTGTTTTACTCATCAGTTCCAACTAGCCCTTGTAGCTGTGGCTACAAAGAATCTTTCAATTGTCGATTTTTTTCGGGTGGTTTCTCTATTGATAAATGTTGTTGGGGGTTCTTCTAACCGTTGTGAACTTCTTCGTGAAAAACAAATGAACTATATTGATGGGGCACTAGAAAGGGGTGATATTTCAAATGGACGGGGTCTAAACTAAGAAGCTAGTCTTCAACGGTCGGGTGATACACGTTGGGGTTCGCATTATGGATCTTTGATTAGCTTGATTTCTTTATTTTCTCCTGTGGGTGATGTGCTTGATGTGATCTATGCGGATGAGTATTCTACTTCTATCCAAAAGGTAGAGGTGGAGATATTATTAAAATCGATTCATTTGTGCTAAATTTGCATATGATGAAAATCATCTTGGGAATATCAAATAAGTTGTCCCAAGCACTACAAATGAGAGACCAAGAGTTTGTGAATGCAATGGATTTGGTTAGAGTTTATAGATATCGACTTCAAGAGTTGAGAGATAGTGGATGGGATTTACTATTTGATGAGGTTTGTCAGTTTCGTGAGAAACATTCTATTGATGTCCCCGATATGACTAGCATGTTTATTCGATTCGATCCTCGTGGTCGTCCACTTTGTAATACACCCAAAATAACGAATTTGCATCATTATCGAGTTGATTTATTTTGTGCCATGATTGATTTGCAACTACAAGAGTTACATGATCGTTTCTTAGAGGCTAGTACGGAGTTGCTACTTTGTATAGCAAGTTTATCTCCACGAGATTCTTTTTCTGCTTTCGACAAGGGCAAATCAGTCAAGATGGTTGATTTTTATCCTCAAGACTATATCCGATGTTCTCATTCTTGAGGATCAGTTACAAGCACTTCAACAATTTGTTTAAAGAATTGAAAGGACTCGGTGAACTTGCGGAAAAGTTGGTGCAGACGAACAAGCACAAAGTGTTTCCTTTGGTTTACAAACTTTTAACTTTGGCGTTGGTTTTACCGGTTGCAACAGCTAGCGTGGAACGAGTATTTTCAGCAATGAATATTATTAAGGATATATTGAGCAATCGAATGAGTGATGATTGATTAAATGATAGACTACTAGTTTATATACAAAATGAAACCTTCTTGAAAATTAGTAATGATGGTATTATCGAGCGATATCAGGCCATGAAAACTCGTAAAGAACAACTATTAAGGTATGTTTTTGTATTTGCACTTCTTCTTTATAATATTTTATATTTTGTCATTAAATAATTAGACCCTCTCATTATATTTGCTAGATCCCCTGCTAACAATCATACTATTAGTTGAATTATTGAAAGATGCTCCAAGGCTTTTATACAACAACAACAACAACATACCCAGTATATTCCCAACAGGTTGGAGTCTCCCAACAGGTTGGAGTCTGGGGGATCAGTTGTATCCCTTGTAATTATACAAGAACTTACCCTTGTAATTATACAAGAAGGTTGTTTCCGTAGCGACCCAAGGTGCATTGCGCCGTTTGATATTTTTTTTTTCTAGAAACTTCTTCACTAATAGAAGAAGCACTAGAATTTAATTGAGTTATTTTGATCTAGTCTATTATTAGCACTATGTCAGGAGAATTGTCAACAATGACTCTTCCAGCTCCAAGGCTTTTTATATGAAATAAAAAAGTTTTTATTATAAAACCATCAATGCCTCATGCATTTTCTATCCTTTTTTACATATAATTAACAAAAAATAGCAAATTACCACCCAATAAAATTCTCTAAAAAGTCTTCACATTGGAACTTCTCCAAAAGAGCAGATAGATATATCATATAACCAAAAATAACCAACTTATAGTCCATCCCCACACTTGACAGCACTCAAAAAGCCTTCAAATCAAACCCCATTAATAAGTTACTACACTTAAAACCTTCAACCACTCACAAAGCACATAAGAAACTGATTAACAATCAAGAAAAAGGCTTTTTTCAAACGCTTTCAAGCGCCTGCACACTCTGTTTCCAATCTTTCGATTGGGGTAACCTCGACAAAGCCCATTCCGGCACGTCTCTCAACCACAATCCTTCGCCTGTCTCCTTGTGCTTAAAATCGGGCGACCTCGGATTTTTCTTGCCCAATCTATTATCCCACCATTTATTCGGATTTTCCACCAAACTCTTCCAAGAATCTTCCCCTTTCGCGCCTTCAACTCGATTTGCTGTCACAAACTTCACTTCAGACTCCTCCTTTGTTTCGCCAACCCCTTCACCACCTTCCGCTTTCGATTGGTGGAACCTCGATTGGGGTAACCTCGACAAAGCCCATTCCGGCACGTCACTTAACCACAATCTTTCACCCGTCTCCTTGTGCTTAAAATCGGCCGACCTCGGATTATGCTTTTCCAATCTATTATCCCACCATTTATTCGGATTTTCCACCAAACTTCTCCAAGAATCGTCCCCTTGCGTGCCTTGAACTCGATTTTCTGTCACAAACTCCTTTGTTTCGCCAACCCCTTCACCACCTTTTTCTTTCGATTGGGGTAACCTCGACAAAGCCCATTCCGGCATGTCTCTTAACCACAACCCTTCGCCTGTCTCCTTGTGCTTAAAATCGGGCCATCTCGGATTTTGCTTGCCCAATCTATTATCCCACCATTTATTCGGATTTTCCACCAAATTCTTCCAAGAATCTTCCCCTTTCGCGCCTTCAACTCGATTTTCTGCTTTGCCAACCCCTTCACCTCCTTGCGACAGCCTGGGCCTCAAGAACATAACATCAAACTCTAATTTTGCGAGTCCCAGCAAAACCCAGTCGGGGGCACGGTCAACCCAAAGCCCGTTTCCAGAATCCTTATGCTTAAAGTCGGGGTGTCTTTCTTTGACCAGCCCATTAGACTTGTGACCACGATAATCCCACCACTGTTTTGGGCTTTTCAAAAGATCCCTCCACAAATCCAAGCTCCGGTCCCCCTTCTTCTTCGTGCTACTACTCTGTAAACTTTTCTCGTAACCCTTTTCAGGCTTAGACTCAATATGATTCGAATCGTTCGCCTCATTGTTCGACTGCTGAGTAACAGGACTCGCGACCCAATCGCTCTCGCCAGAAACAGCCTTTTTCACATAGCCCTCGACAAAATTGAGATTCTCGGCCACGAGATGGAACTTTCCGTAACCGTCGGCGAAGACGAATCTCGTGGGGCCCATTCTCAGCTTCCCCGAAACGAAAACACGATCCTTCTCCTTAACGTGAAGGGCCACGACCTGAGCCAAATCGCCTTCGAACACAACGGGGATCAACAGAGTGTCACACCTGTCGCCACAATCCTGAGAAATCAAAACCGTGGCCAAGCGATTCCCATCGGCGCCGGACTCGAGATGGACCGGGGTTTTCACGCGGCCGATCAAATTCACGGCGTTGGCGACCCGAGGTTGGAACGGAATCTCTATCGGCCTCGGCCAGTCGATCGCCGGACCTCTCCGTTCCTTGATCGTCGGAGGAAGGCTCGAATCGGAGGTCTTCTGGGCTCCGAGATTCTCTGTCACTTGTTGGGTTAAGGAGCTGAACGGAGCTGTTTTGGTACAGTACAAACTCCATTGTTGAAGTACGGCGATGGATCGAAAGGGGGAAAGGCCGCCTCTAATGGACAATTTCGCTTTGGCTAGTAAATTCATGGCGAGTGTTTGTGAACTAGGGTTTATCAACAAAGGTTTTGGGAGTGACCAAGTGAGAATGTGAGGCGAAAGATCAACTCTCAACTCTCTCGAGCGAGTGTGAATTTTAGGGTTTAGTGATGGGTTTAAGTCTTTAAGAGTAATCCAATGTGGCGTATAAAATTAAATTCTACGATACAGAATCAACAATCCGTTGTCGTCCAGTGGTTAGGATATCTGGCTTTCACCCAGGAGACCCGGGTTCAATTCCCGGCAACGGAATACAAACCCTTTTTTATTGTTTTGGCAATCATTTTTTTTATTTAATCTCCTAGTAAAATCCGTTGCTTATGATACTCATCACAATTTTCTATAAATTGCAGCTAAAACGAAAAAACAATGATACAGCAAATATAAAAGAAAAGACCAGAAAATCCAGAGACACATGAAATACAAATACCCTCATTTCCTAATCTTCAACCACAAAATGTACGAAATTCAAACAAAAGGCCACCCCAAAATAACACTGGATGGCCATTGCTTTTACAAATATGCTTCACACAGACCCTTAAAAGTCTTCAACAAAAAGTCTACACGAGACAACGTTTGTTTCTTTCCCCTAAGACATACATAAGCACATCGACAAATCACTATCCAGCGAAAAAGACCACGCAATTAATTGCTTTCTTAATGACCAAACATAGTTTTTTGCCAAGAAAAAGTTGAGAGTTTGTTCTATGAATCAAGTCCATAATCCTCCCCAAAGTACTTGTCGACTAACTCGTTCGCCATATTTCTAAGATCTTCGTTCTCATGAAATTGGAATCTCTCCATGGCTTCTATTCCATCTTCTGCCTCAACAAGCTTTGGCCCCTCTCCATTCGGCATTCCTCTTAGAACCTATGGGAGAAAAAAGTGTAATGAAATTTTCTCATGGTATAGAAGAATAAATATTCAAATTCATATAATCAGAAAAATTTCAAGCAATCGTTTCAGGTCTGCACGAGTAAAAACTAAAAAATCATCAGCATGTATTACAAACATTAGGGGATAGATATTACACGGTAGATTAATTAACAAAATACCATTGTGTTATCAGAAAAAAGAAACGTTAAAGAACAAAAAGGTTGAAGCTTTTTTAACAGATAATTGAGCCTTTTCCATTAGATCAGACCTCAAATGCTAAGGGTGCTTGGATATAAATCATATCCAATTATTTTGATCACTCACATCTTTAACTCAAAATATAACTCAATTCAACATTTCTCAATATTATTAATATAATTAAATAATATAAATCAATCATCCTCACGCATCACATCAACTTTAATTCACTATTCATTCACTCACGTAATTTTAACTACTCATCACTTTCAATCATATTTTTCCTACTTTTACATCAAATTAACTTTAATCATTTTATGTTCAACACTATTTTAATACATACTCAAAATCTCATTCAAACTCAAGTCAACCAACTGTTTCAAAATTAATTATGGTTACCCCTTATGTTTGCAATATGGAAATGTGCTTACCAGCTCCAAGAACTGAAGGCCCAGTCGAGCAGCCTCTACATCCACGGATCTTACCAAGTCAACAAAACCACCGAGACATCCTCCACCAACAAGGGAAACCAAGTGCTCGATGATCAAACTAGGCCTTCCGGAACCTTCCGAAGGGGCCACACAGAGGTTACCAAGAACATAAGCCACTTCTTTTTTTATGTCGAATGGTGAAGTCAACAGCAGGTGTATCAATAGTGACACAGCTTCACTTGAGTGTATTAACTTTTTATGCTCGATGGTACCCGCGGCTACATTAGATAGCACCCATGCAGATTCCTAAGAATTACATGCACACAACAAAATAATAATGTAAGAATAATCAAATTCATGTGTAAGCAAGAAAACCGAGAGGGTAAGATTGTGAAAATTTACAAATTGGTGCACCTTTTTTAAGATGCGGTGTTCGCTTTTCAAACACTTTATCAGAGCTTGGATCACATTTACTGTGGAGTAATAGACGTTATGAAGTGTTTAGTGTAAGGTATCTTTGCTCGATACACATGCACCAAAAAAGACAGAAGGAATAGAAAGAAAAATGAATATAAAAGGAGAAGAAAACTGGAACTAGCCTGTGGTCCCATGTCCAGCGACAAGGATATTATTAGTTACATAAGAATCACCAGCCACAAGATTACCCAAACTCCGTAACACCTGACAAGAACCGTCACCAAAGAGCACAACAACATTATAATATAAATGCAGTGTCTAAATAACAAAGTGTTGAGATCTTTCAGACAGTTCTATTGGAACAGATACAAAGGCCGTGCTTGTTTATAAAAAAGCTAGAAAAAAGCTAGTTTTTTTCTGGTTTTTTGTGTTAACTAAAGTTTATTTGAAAAAAGTTAGTATGGTTAGTTGGTAGTGGGATTTTAAGAAAAATAATATTTAAAATAAAATGATTAAAATTGATTTGATGTAAAAGTAGGAAATAAATGATTGAAAATGATACGTAGTTAAAATTATGTGAATGGATAAATAGTGAATTAAAGTTGATGTGATGTGTAAGAATTACTGAATGATATCATTTAATTATATTGATAATATTGAGGATAGTGGGGTTGACTTAGAGTTGAGTTAGATTTTGAATTGAGATAGATTTTTTTTCTAGTTTTTTTATAAACAAGCAAAGCCAAAGCAACTACCCGATAAGTTTGAAAAACTCGTTTCAAGTAAAATCTTGTATGAGTATCTACCGGGATAAGTAGTTGCAAGCTGTTTGATGATGATAGTCTATCTACAAGTATTTGCAGTAGATCGCTTTTTGCCAGCATGCTGGTAGCCACATCTGAAAGTGAAGTGAGATACACAACCACCCATCCCACTTCAGTGGCCAGCTCTTCATCTCTGATTAAACAAGCAAAT